TGGTTAGCAATGCCCCTGAACGGAAGATACGAGGGAATGCATCTACCTCTCTTAGTCACCTGACAAAGTGGAATTACTCGTCCTCCTGCCATAATTCTTTACCTGCCCATGATCTTGGATAAGCTATGGTATATAATGAAAACTTAATATCCCATTTATTCTTAAGTTCACATTAAGTGACCCACAAAATATTTGCCCTAAAACAAATTTTACTTTTGTAATTTACTAGTAAGCTTTGAGGGGGAAAAAAAAGGAGCCTCTGAATTAGAAAAAAATCAAACCTTTCCTGTATGTTTTATGTTGTGTCTTCTATAAACTATTAGTGATTAATGTCAAATTATAATAGCTGTCTGATATTTGTTCAGTAACATATTACTCACCCATCTGAACACACCTGATTGCCTGTAATTTTAACGACAGATCATAGATATCTTATATTTTTCCCCCAAATTGACATTTCACTTTATGTCCTCAAATTTTAGTGCAAAAGACCCACTTCTGTTGCAAAAATGTTTATGTATTCACTATAGATTGAACGTAAAAGGAGGAAGAAGTCCCACATTTAGTGTTAATCCTCATTATTTCCAAAACACTACATATAGCAATTACTCCTGTGGTAAGGCTTCAGACTCATCAGCAACTCTGTGAGGTGCTCACAGCATAAAATATCTTCCCTTACCTAAGCAGATGAGTCACAGAGCCAGAGTCTTGAGTATTACATTGCTGCCATCTTTACCTGGTATTTTTAATCTCCAAAGAACTTTAGCTACAACCTCATCAGCAAATGTTTCAAGCAAAGTGCTCTATCAAAGTAATTTCTTCCTAGAGAGGAAAACAGGCAGGGAAGATGTAAGGGGAGAAAAGATAAATTTACCTGCATCAATTTTCTGGAGAGCTCATTAGTGAGGAACTCTTCTTCTTTTTCATAATTTACAGCAAGGGTTTCTTTCTCCTTCTGCAAAGCCTGGATCTTCTTGAATAAAGTGTTACTGATGAATTCTTCCTCTTGCTCAGCCCTGGCTTGCTGTTTAAAAAAAAAGGAAAAAAAAATAAATTAAAAGAGCAACAACAACAAAAAATATGTTAAGGAAACAGGAAATTTATTAATTAAAATATAGTTCTTATTTGCAGAGAGGGCACCCATTTTAATGAGATTTCTATTTTTAACTGTGAACCAATGCACCAGAGGGGCTGAGTAGCAACCCTAAAAGCAAATCTGGCTATTCCCCCAAAGGGCCTCCCTGTACTACGCACGACCCCTCTTCTTAAAGTGATGTTTCAAAGACACTAATAAAGACTGTTTTACAGTTTTTAGAATCAATCCCAAGGCAATCACTAGAATACAGAGAACTTGTCAGATGGCAGACAGGTCCAATTCTGGGGTATGTGCATCAATTCGTGGTAACTCTGCAAGTCACTACATCTCAAAGGTTTATAGTTAAAATATCTAGGTAACATGTTTTACTGAAGCAGAGAAGTTCAACTTGCTTAAAAGTAAAATCATGTCACCTCTTTAGGGTGTTACTGAAAGGGTTTGGATATGCAATTTTAAAAGCAATGCAGATCTACATGGATTCAGTGACATGCTCAATGAACAGTAATTATAAGGAAATATACAAGTGGCTAGAAAGTAGTACTGAAGTAGCAGGAATCCAACCAGTGAAAAGTAAGGGTGGAGGAAAGGAGTTTTATTTTTTACTTTATTTCCCACTGGGAATTTTTTGGAGGTGAGGCCAAGGACAGGCATAACTGAATTTTAAAAACAAAAGAAAAGAGGGTCAGGATAATTCAATGGAGATGAAAATATTCTTCCATAGCCTCCCCCCCATGCTATATTTTAACAGGATAAACAGAAAAACCTAACCATCCTTGAAGAAAATTAATCTTTTCAGAAAAGGAAAACTTCTTTCCAGTGAGCTCAACTCTACTCAAAGCACTTTTTAAACCACATAATTTTGATGCATTAATCCCAAATAATGCACTCCTGTTTTATCAGCTAAGTTGAAGGAGAAAGAGCTCCATCAATTCCAAGCCACCAGCACCTGTCACTTACAATAATACGAAAGCCAGAGGGCAGGAGACAAAAGGGCACCAGCATGAAATAATTACCACCTTTTATTGTAAAACCTCTGACAACCACCTCCAAGTCCGGTGGTTTAGATTTCTGTACGTATTCGCTTGCTTCCCCCAGTGCCCACGCCCTAACAGCCAGTTTCTGGGGGAGCCTGTCCTCTGTGCTCCCCATCTCTGTGGCCGAAAGGAAGCACCCCAGTCCCCAGAACTGCCTGTCAAGCAGTTCTACAAAAGAGAGCCACACGGAGTACTTCAACTGAAAAACAGAGCTATACAAAAAGTGGAAACTTTGGGAGAAGGTCCAGCTCTCGAGTTCTTGAAGAAACTACCTGGGATAGGTCAGGGGAACTGAGCACCTAAGAACACATCTCAGCTAATAAATGCTTCTTTCCATCCAAGAGCACCCAGGGAGAGGTCCCTAGTTCCAGGTGGCTCCCTCACACCTGGTATTTTGTTAGCCCTTCCTAGTGCTCTCCACCGAGGTCCAGAAAATCTGCTGAGGACTGCTGCTTCCCCTCCCCCCTTGAAATGACTCCCCACTCCTCTTTAAAACTCACATCCGTCCAGGTGACAGTACTAATGCAACGGGCAGGAATCCAAAGTATTTACAGAGGCACACCTGACGCATATATCCAAGCCCGCAATCTGTTCAAGCTACTTGTTTTTCTGCTTTTGACTGACGTCCTACATGATTTGATTTCTGATTATCCTAAAAGTTGCAGAACAGAAAGGTAAGAGAGGAACTATAATGCTAGTGATTCTGCACTTAATTATTCAAAAGGGTGTTCACCATAAATTATTTTCGTTATCAGGTCAGACTCAACTTCTTACATGTTACCACACGCTCAGTATTTTAGACAACTGGTGTATCTGATCACAAGCAGTAAGAGAGCCAGACTCAGGCTGAGCAGACCACCCTCCCCTTTGCACTGAGGCCTGGAAGTAAGGGATAAGCCCTAAGTGTTTGTTCATGGAGCTTCCACCCTACCTCCCCCTTCATCTAACCATTAAGTTACAGGGACAACAGATTTCAGTGTAATATAAAACAGAACTCTGCGATAAAAAGTAGATTTGTTTGCCAGGGGCTGGGGGAGAGGGGTGCGTGGGAGATGGGGCATGACTGCTAATGAGTGCAGGATTTCTTTTTGGGGCGATGAAAATGTTCTGAAATTAGTGCTAACAGTTTACACAACCTTGTGAATATACTAAAAATCAATGAGGTGTACACTTTAAAAGGGCAGATTTTATTGAATGTGAATTATATCTCGATTAAGAAAAAGCACTCTGATAATTAGCAGGGTCTGGATTTCACGAAGCACCTGGTTTCCTTTGCAATTCTTCCCAGAGAAAGCAGCACAATTTTAAAAGGATGGGGGCGGGGAGGTGTTGGAAGAGCACTAGATCTGCTCTAAAGTGCCTTCCCAAGTAAGTGACACATCGCTGGTTATGAGAGGCTGAGGCTTTCCCTAACAAAATTATTCACGATTTCAGAATAGCCACTTAATTCTAGGGAAAGCCCATTAATGGAAAATGCCGCTCTCAGGACCCCTGAATAACATGCGGAACTGCTCTGTGGAGGCTTGTCAAAGCCTCTCTAACTTCGTGAGGGGTGGACAGGCCTCACACAGACTCCATCAAAGGCCTCCTTCAGCTAAGTTTTTGCCACGCTTTCATCCGAACCTGAGGCTGTTTGTTATTCTGCCTCCTGCAGCATCTGACATCCAGCGGAAAACCACTGGGAGGACAAAATTTCAGGTCCCCAAAAATGCAAAACCGAGTCCACTCTTATTCTAACTGGTCACAAATCACCGTAGGAATTAACACATAAACGAGGACAAAAGGCAAGATGTTGTATCCAATAGAGCCTCAGAGAAAATTTTTTAAAAGATCAGACAGAGTGGACTGACAAGCAGGAGTAAACCTGATGGTCAGAGGCTGAGCCGAGCGCCACACAAAGCAGTCCACGCCCCGCCAGCCGCCTCCCATGCCAGGCGCCTCATCCGCCCAATGTCAGTCTGAGGCCTGGCTCTTTCTCCCCCCAACTCCAGAACAAGCCTTTTATTTAAGCTGTAAGCAAATGATCCTTCCAATTTATTCCACCAAAGAAGACAAGAGTCTGGTAGACAGTGGCCTAGGAGCAAAGCAGCAAGGCCCAGGCACCATTCACCAGCACTGGCCGTCAGAAAAGCGGGGGCAGAGGGAGATAAAACAAGCTACCATCTCAAATCTCATCAGTTTTATCAACCTACTTCCCTTTTCATCTGAAATGCTTAAAAATTTCAGCATACCTAAAGACATCCAAATTCAAAAATAAAATTGTATTTTCATTTTTTTTATTTATTTTTTTTAAGATTTTATTTATTTGACAGAGAGAGAGAGACAGTGAGAGAGGGAACACAAGCAGGGGG